AGGCACTACATCTAAAATCAAACCCTACACCTCTCCTTTCCCAGCCACCTGCTCCTCCTGAGTTTCCTATTCCCGTCATCAGACATACATGCATTTAGTAAGCATTTACAGAATACAAGTCATCATGCCAGACACTGGGAATTCAAGGATTTTAAAAACAATGTCCCCGCCCTCAAGGTACTTGCAGATTGCAGGTAGAGGAGAGAGCCAGGTGATGGAGCCCCAGCACTCTGTGATCAGAGCTGCACTGAGGAAGTGGACGGGCCGTGCACACTCAGGATCGCTGGGATTGAGGGAAGCTTAGCCCAGCTCAGCTTCAAGCCATCCAGTTCTACTCCTTTTCCCCACCTGCTGTCAGGCACTGGCCTCCCTGGAGCCTTTCTCCACTGTGACTTCCACATCGTGTTCTCTGTCAAACCCCAGTGTGCATGGGAATAACCTAAGGATCTTGTTAAAATGAAGCTTCTCTTTGAGCAGGTTTAGGGTGGAGCCTGAGACTCTGCATTTCTTACAAGATCCCAGGGGGTGGTGCTGATGCTGCTGGACGGTGCATCACACACGCTACGAGTTGTGAGGTTCTTCCTTCCACTGCCCTTGTTACATCCCCTCGGCCAGTACCACCGCAGAGCCCAAGAACGCACTCCTGCCTCTAACCCTAGACTGCGCAATAGGGAGCCACGGACCACAGTCTGTCTAAATGAAAACGAAATAAGATTTACAATTCAGTTTCTTATTCGCAGTAACCACATTTCACATGTTCAACAGCCACACATGCCCTGTTATACAGAACAGATAGAGAACATCTCCTTCATTGCGAAAGTTCTGTTGGACGGCACTGCTTAATCTCTGCCCCGTCTAAACCAATAAATTTGTGAACTAGCTATGCACTGACTGCCATCCTCACCAGATTGGAAGCTTCCTGAGGGCAAGCTCTATGTTTGTCTTGCCATATTTTTCTCCTCAGAACCTGACCCATAACCTTTATCTCACTTGACAAATGTTTACTTATTTGTAAATCAGTAAGTATTTACTTTGATTATTTCCCATCTGTGGAACAGAGTCCAGAATGCATAGTTGGGATGCAAGGTCCTTCTGGGAGGCAGAGTTTCGTCCATCATGGTTAGCATATTGGCCAGCTTGGGCTGCCATAAAAGCACCACAGACCAGACGGCTTAAACAACAGAAATTTATTTTCTCACAGCTGTGGAGGCCGGCAGTCTAAGATCATGGTGTCCGCGGGGTTAGTTTCTCCCGTGGCCTCTCTCTGTGGCTTGCAGATGGCCACCTTCTCGCTGTGTCTGCACACGGTCTTTCCTCTGTGTGTGCATCCCTGGGGTCTCTCTGTGTGTCAGCTTCCTCTTCTTATAGGGACACAAGTCAAACTGTATTAGGGCCTGTCAAACAGCCTCATTTTAACTTAATCACCTCTTTAAGGTCCCTTTTTCTAAAGACAGTCACATCTGCGGTGCTGGGGGTTAAGGCTTCAACCTATGAATTTGCAGCAAGGGAGGCACGATTCAGCCCACAACAGTTAGGAGTATGATTTTGAAACCTAACAGAACTGGGTTCCGAAATTCACCGTTAATAACTATGCCAATGAAAGGATACTTTACTTGTCTGAGCCTCAGTTTGCTCATCTGAGAAGCGGTGATAATACCACCTCCCTCACAAGGCTGTTAAGAAGATTAAAAGCATGGACTAATGCGAAGCGCCTAGCAGAGCTCAGGGCACAGTAGGCGCTCAGTTAGCTAGCGCCACTTGTCGCCCTGGCTTCCATAGGCTCTCCCTGTCCTTAGCCCCAGCAGCAATCCTTCCCCTGCTTCAGATCCCTGATGCACGAGCCTCCCCAAGCCTTTCGTCACGCACCCCACCCCTCTGCATATTCCAATCCTAGTCCTGCTTGTGGCTCGATTCTCTCTGGAGTCCGGTGTCAGCCCTCCGCTCCTACTCTACAAGCTTTGTCGGCCTTACTCTCAAGTCTACACCACCATCCCACCCAATTAGCACCTACGAATTAAAATCCCAAGTTGTTAATTTGTCTGCTGACTCTCCCTGCACACAGGCTGACCCTCCCAATTAGACTGTAAGGCATTTAGGTAGATCAAAGCCCACAACCATACCTTCCAGCTTCTCTCACAGTGCCTATCAACGGGCCTCACACAAAGTAGGCCTCAAATGATCAATTGAAAGAGTCTGTGAATAGGAAAATACTTATATATGGTCAATATCCACTGACTGAATAGATACATGTATATGTATATATCTAATGTATGTGCGTGTGTGTGTGTGTGGTTTTAGCATAAAGAAAACTTGAGAAAGAGAAATGCCAAATGCAGGCTACTGACTCTCATTGAGGGAAGGGGGTAACCCAGGGCAGATATAACTGTGTTGACAATGTCGTGTTTTGTTTTATAAACTGGGTGGCAGTTTCATGATTGTTATACTAGTCTCATACCTTTTTGTATTCTTGCATATTGCAAATTAATATTCATTAATTGATACATATCTGATGTTTATAGGTGGGCTTATTAGCATAAACAACTAAGGGATGAGGAATTCTCCTGACAGGAAAGAAAGTACTTAAAATATTTGTTTTAGATAGAAGAGTTTTTAGTTAGGACTTCAGAGTATAACTCAACAAACTCTTTTAATTAATATTTTATCTGGCAGGAAATATTTATGAGACATTATCAGCCTCATAAATGCAAATAGAATTTCTATAAAAAGGAGAAAAAATAATTTCCTGAGTGTCATATTCTAAAGAGAAGACTTTAATTGTGAACTCATCTCTTGCTGATGAAGGAAGGGAAGAGAAGCGGGTGAGGGCAGACAGAGGCGGGGGGCTCTACCCCGTGAGGGACAGTGATCACACACAAACTCCCAGTTGCTTTCCAGCACCACCTCATCATTGTTCAGACGATGAAAGAGGCACTTAGCACCTTCCTGGGCCCCTGAGTGGTTCTTCAATCATGTCTCCTGTCCTCAAATGTTACCTGTGCTCTTTGGGACACCTGGGCACAGAAAAGTGAAGGCTTGCCTAAGTTTGCAAAAACCAGTCAAGGCTGGAACCCTGTTATTTCTCATTTTTCAGGTCTAGGTTGAGAACTGGATCCAGGTTTTCTGTCTTCTCATCTAAGGTCCCATCACTGAAAGAATATTTACCACACAATATTTCCCAGGTCACCCTACATTTTGCTTCAAAGTCAGCCAGGCTCCCCAATCAAGGCAGAAGGAATTCCATGGTCTTTATACTGGATCCAAAGGTAACTGCTTCCCCACGACAGAGCACCTCATAGACGCAGAAAATGTGTATAGTGGACGTGATCTGGACCACACAGCGACACAGAGGCCTCTCCCCAAAACTAGGAAATTACAGAACCGAGGACTTTCTTCTCAGAGTGTGAAACCACAAAGATCAACATGCAATGGATGAGCAGGAAGACAGGCTCAGTCCCCTCAGGGTACTGAGAGATTTCCTGGTTAGTCAGGGCCCACCCAGCCAGACCGGATAATCAACCCCTCTCCACAGAGGAGGGAGTTTCAGCAGGCAAACCCCAGCAGGGCCACTCTGCACGCTGTTCCCGGAAGGGTGCCCAGGAAGGGGGCAGAGTGCACGCTGGTCGCTGTGGTTGCCATCGTGAGACTAAGCTTCCATGTCTCTGTTCTCATGGGAGACGACAGTGCCAGTGACACACATCTGTCTCCTTGTAATTTAATAAACCGTTTTTCTTGTTGACAGTGCTCACTAGACAAATATTCATTGAGCACCTGTGCTGGGCGCCAGAGACACAGCAGAGAACAAGACAGTCATAGTCCCTGTCTTGGTGGAGCCTACAGTCTGGCGGACACTGGTCTCACACGCTTGATCAGGTGCACCTGCCCTGTGGAGAGGAGACACATTTAGGGCCTGGGGCTGGGATGTTGAAACCAAAAGGCTGGGCAACAGACAGGGAGGGGTGGGGACTCACATCAGCAGCTAGGAACAGCCGCCCGCCCTGCACAGACCAGTCCTCAGAGAAGCCTGTCCGCCCTCCCCAGACAGCAGGGTTAGGGCGCCCTCCTTTTGCAGGGGCTGTGACGTCTGCAGCTGCCCTTCCTACAGCTCACAAGAATTACAGAATAAATGCATACGATCACCCTTCCTCAAGGCAGGGAGGGATCCAGGAGGATGGCATGAGCCGTGCCTGCTAAGGTGGTGGCTCCAGCAGCCCAGCTGTGTCCTCAGCCCGGCTCTGCCTCTGGACTGCTCAGAGACGTCTTTGAGTAGCGGGAGTATTTTCTGCTATTCCTACCCAGCCACTGCCACATGCCTCTGGAGAGGATGGCCAGGGGCTGAGCAGAGAGCCCAAGGCACCGCAGACTTGTTTACTGTCTCCGGACCGGCTTCATCTCCAGACGGCGGCGAGGCAGGGCGCCCCAGAGCCTCACTCCACTCACAGGAGGGAGAGCCATCCGGGTGGGGATGGAGTGCCCGAACTGTGGTCCCTCGAACTTCCCGAAGGAATGCCTCCCATCTGCTCTGTTCCATGGAAAAAAGCGCAGCTAAATTCTGCCCACCGCCCCCCTCAATGTGCTCAACGCAGGGTGACTGAGCAGCCCCTCCAAGGCTCTGAGCCAAGGTCTCTGCCCTCAGTCTTTTCTGCCCCACCACACCCACTAGATACGCGGGCGCTCACACACATACACACGCGCGCTCACACATGCGCGAGCACAGATCTCCGTCCTTTGCATCTGCAGGACCAGAAGCACCCCCAGTACCCCAGGCCGGGTGAAGCAGGGAGGTGGGCGAGCCTGCGGGAAGGGAGAGTGGGCAGCAGGAAGGGAGCGCAGAGTTGCCGCCTCCACCCCCGCTCCCCCCACCCCGGCCCCCAGACCCCTCCGACCCCCCGACCCCGCGCCACCCCGCCCCTCAGGTTCTTCCCCCACCATCCCGTATCGGATTCATTCAGAACTGACCGCGTCCGCATCACAGGGGAATCCCCGACCCCAGCCCCCCCACCCCTACCGCCTTTCCCTGTGGCCCTTTAAATCGGTTATTACACGTTATTACATAGAGATTCGTTTGCAGTGGGGCCAGAGGGAAGGAGAAGCAGGGGAGAGAAGAGGGCGGGGAGGAGGGAGGGAGGAGGATGAGAGAGAGAGAGCGAGAGAGCGAGAAAGCCTCCTCCGCTCTCGCTGGAGAAAGGGAGTGACTGGAGAAGCTTGGAGGGAAGGGACAGGATGGCTTAGAGCCTCTGCCCTCAGGACCCCAGGCAGGGGGCGGCGCCAGGCGGAGTCTGAGGCTGCGGTCATGGCTGGGGCTGGAGAGTCCCCTCAAGGACCCTGAACGCCCCCTGCACCGCCTCTAAGGGACGCCTCAGAAGTTAGCATCAGTGGGACCTGGAAGCTCCGATCTCAACAAGTAAGTTGTCTTCTTTTCCTCCTTCATTTCTCCCCGCTCGCTGGTTCTGGAAGGCAGGACGGCCACTCTCGGGGCGCCCACTGCCCGCCGCGGCTAGCTTTTACCAGGGACCTGCCAGTTTGGGAGCCGATGGGAACAGGGGATGCTTAGGGCAGGTCCAAAGTTCAGCCAGGAAACCCCAGATCTCCGTAGCCTGCAAGCTGCCCTGGTCACTGGGAGTTGAACCTTCTGAGGGCTGTAAACATCTCTGGTCTGGTACTGGAGCATGGAAATTCGCTGGGGTCTGACAGCCCCCGTCAGTGGTGTGAGAGGCCAGGGCGGTGGGGAGGGGGCATCATTGCCCTGGGCAATGGCTCTGCCTTCAAGGGGGGTTGTAGAGGGCTGGGGTGGGGTGGGGTGGGGTGGCCATCTCCCTCAGCCTTAGATCCTCAGCTTAATGTTGCTTTCTTTTAAGTCTGGCCAAATTGGATCCATGACCTTGCTATTTCTGCCTCTTGCCGTCAGGTCACTTTCCGCATGCTTCTCTATCTCTTTTTAAACATCTTTCAAACTGTCCGGAAAGAGCAGGGCTCAAAGCTCCAAGGGCAGGGGTGGGGAATAGGGAAGGGCATCATCATTATTCCCCTTCTCCCCAAACCTATGTAGCTCCCTGGAGAGCTGCCCAGTGCCTCCCCTCAAACTGGGCTGTCCTCCCCCCACTGCGGAGCAGCCTTAGGTCCGTGCTGGCTCCTCGGACCAGGTCTGGTCCCCCAAGTTCCAGGGCCTACCCGAGACATGGGATCGGGTAAGGCCAGCCCAGCAGCTGTCCTGACAGTCCTTTCAAACACCAGAAGATCAACAGGCATGTGACTGCTTCGTGTCTGACTGTGCCAAGTGCTTTGCTGTCTTTTGATCCTTTTAATGGAGCAGATATGATCATCTTCATTCTACAGCTGAGAAACTGTGGCTTATTGAGGCAATGGAACTTGCCAGAGGTACATAGCTGAACAAGTGAGCTTCTCACCTGGCTCTGACTCCAAAATGTATGTTTTCTTCATCACTGAGCTACGCATCATAGGGCTTCCTGTTCACAAGCATCTTTCCATGTAGGCGAGAGGCAGTGAAAACAAGCTAATATTTATGGAACCAAGTTCTGAGCTGGACGCATTCATCAGAGTTAATCTGCACATCGGTCCCATGAGGCGAGGGTCCTTTCACCCTCTCTGTGGATGAGCCCAGAGCTTAGAGAGTGCTGAGCACAGATAAGTGGCAAAGCTACTGTCTTCTAACGCTTGTCCTCTAACTTTAAACGCAGTCTTTGTGCTATCACTGACTCACCCTGGAAGGTGCTCTGGCCTTCCCAAACCCATACCTTTCCCTCAAAACCCAGGTGTAAATCCCCTTAGCCGGCTGAATGAGGACCATGGGATTTCCAGAATCTGATGGAAGACTCAAACAGAGCTAATGATGTGGGGGTTGGAGGGAAAAGGCCCTTGGCTGGGCTCTGACACGAAGCGTGCGGTCAGCTTGACAGGGATTTGAAACTGTTGACCTGACCTGAGACGGCATCGTTCTGCTTAGTGGGAGTCCTGGGGCACAGGATGTGAGCTTCTTGGCAATAATAGCAAGGAATTGTCATATTCAATGCTCTCCATGTGATATGACACATTTTATGTGCATGCTGATATTGTTTTTTTCTTTTCCCATCCACTGCTTTTCCCACTGTTCCTCCCAACCTCCCCTCCTCCCACCCCTCTTCACCATCGTGGACCCAAATAATCTGAAACTAAGTTCCAACCAGAGACTTCAAACCTAAGGCTAGAAAGGCAAGCATTCTTCTACTTTGGAAGGAATACTTTTTGGCATTTATAAAGTGTTTATTATTTGTCAGTCTCTGTTCATTGATTATGAGATTGATAATAAATTATTGCAACAGCGTAAGTTATTAGAATAGCACCAGGGCCACCTTGAAGGAGGAACATCACATAGAGAAGTTGTGTGTACATTCCACCAGAGCACAGCGCTCCTGATTTTCCCTCAACCATGTTCTAGATTCACCGTCTAGCTCTGCGACAGAAAGGAGACCACTCAGACATAGATTCTGCCGTCCTCTCCAAGGAGGCACTGCTGGCATCCCTCGTGGGCAGCGTTTCTTATTTAAGTAGCATGCCTGCATTAAACAGAGGCAGGAGGAGCCCCACCCAGCAAGCAGTGCAGCTGGAAGAGGAGATGGAGGTAAAGTGTGTGCAAGGAGAAGGGGTCCCCTGTGCTCTCCGCCCAGGGCTGTCCTGGAGGCTACGCTGCCCTCTCTGGCCATGAAGTCACATCTCAGTGGCGTTCCCCAACACGGGTTCTGCCGGCACATCCTGAGCTGTGCGGGCTCTCCCGTGTGCTGGTCCAGCAGAAACCTCAGCGTGGCTGTCACAGACATTCTCTCGGCCTCATTGCCCCTGCCGGCTGCATGGCAAGATCCCCCAGGCTCTCGGCAAGTGCCTGCCTAGGTTTCTTGTCCAGGAATTCGAGAGACTCTAAAGCTGCTCTCCTCCCCCATGATGAATTAACCCCACAGCAGGGAAGAGACGGCGAGAGTGCCCACTCTCCGCTTCCCGTTTGCCCTGGAAATGACCGGCCCTTAGGGCCTTCTGTGGCCAAAGCCACGAGCGGGGGTGCACTCACCTCTGTGGAAACTGTGTCTACTTCTGTTTTTTGTTTTTAAGTCAGTTCAGCAGCCATGCATTTGATCCCCTAGCATGTGCCAGGAATAACTAATTTTTGAAAACCTTTGGAATGTGATCATCCAGGCAGGGTTATGCTTTCCACTTAGGAGAACGTTAGCAAAAGCTTGCATTTTCTGAGCCAGTACTCATTGAATATTTAGGCTGGGGGTGGGAGGAGGATGGAGAGAAAGGAGGGGTCCAGGAATCCATTAAGTAGTTTGAAGGAGCCATTTTTAGACTAAAATTTTCACTGTCTCCGAGCTACAGACAGGCCATTTAGCATTGGCAGTGTCTGTAAGAAGGGGCCCACCATCAGACGTCTATTAAGACAGTTGTCAGCCACAGAGGAATTTTTCTGTTTTTCCTAAGGACAACATAAGAAGAATGGGAGCTGAAACACAAAGGATTGTAGGGAGGCGTTTGAGAAAATTTCTCTAAGAGTCTTGTGGAGTAGCTTTCTCTGGAATTATTTTAAAACAGAGGCGATTGCTTCCCCTTCCTGAGACCCTGGTTGCCGAGGGACAAAGTGGTGGCCCTTGACAGGCCTTATCTAGTTCCTCCTACCTTGGCATTCTGATAAGTGATAAGTGAGCTATTCTGGTCAACAGAGCCCAGGATGGCAGTGTCCCTTGCCAACAGCCGTGTCAAGTGAAATGTCAGAGCCAACCCTTAACACGTGACCTGGAGAGGATCCGGGGCTTAAATGTTACGTCCCACTCTCGTTCCAGACTAGAGCAGGCAGCAGGCAGAGGGGCAAAGGTCAGGGATAATCTGACCAGTTTGGCAGGTGGCAACAGCACTTCCTGGTCACCATGGGTCAACCCAGAGAGGTTGGGGGGTGGGGAGGGAAAATGGAAATACAGGGTGAGGGAGAGAGAGACCATGAGGAGCATTCAGTTCTCCTGTCTGTGACTTGGTCCTTGGGGCTGGTGTGCTGCCCGGCCCTATCTCCTCTCTCACATTTCAGGCCCCCGACCTTAAAATCAGGGAGACTCCAATGCCATCATCCTACATTATTTCTTGCTGCTCATAAAGGAAAAAGGGGTAAAAAGCAAGAGCGGAGAAGTGAGCCTGGAGCCAAGCCCACGTCTTGTGCCTTGCCCTCAGTGTTGGCTCCCCGCCCAAGCTTCTGCTGTAGGGCACTTGCGCTCAGAGCCTGGCCTGGAGGAGGGTCACAAGAGCAACAGCAGCGAGGTGCTGCCTCTGTCCCGGAAGCTGGCCATCCAGCAGGGATCAGAGAGCCCACAGGTGCCAGGGCGGAGAGGCCCCCACAAACAGAGGCTCTGACAGCCAGCTCCCCTGGGCTATCCAGAGCAATGCCATTGGACGTCAGGGGATGTAGGCCAACCAGTCCCAAGGCCGGTGGCTTCAGTCACTTCGGAAAGTGTCCTTTATTGGACACACTTAAAAAGTCACTCATATATTCCTTCAAAAACGTGTATGTCGAGCTACCACAGGTCAGACCTTGTAGGAACCTGCGATAGAAGATTGGGTCCTTTACACACCCTGCCCTGCCCTGCCCTGGACTCTCTCCGACAATTAACTGGGGACGACTGTCATTGACAGAGCCCATGGCTGCATTACACCATCGGGGGAAGCACCATTACAGAGATGCACAGAGGGCTGAAGGAGGGCCAGGGGAAACAGGGAGGGCTTCCGAAGGGGGCTTGGGAAACAGTGAGGTTTGTGGGATGGTGGAAGAGAGAAGGGAGCCCAAGGAAGGGGCCTGGAGAGTCCCGCTTCTGTGGCCGTGAGACAGCCGTGGGGGAGCCTGCCCTTGCGCTGACTAAAAGAAGCCAGCCCTGGTGGTCTAGTGGTTAAGATTCAGTGCTCTCACCACGGTGGCCCGCTTTGTTTTTGATGTTTCCAACACAAGCAGGGTCACCCATGGTGGACAGGTGTCAGTGGGGCTTCCAGACTAAGACAGACTAGGAAGAAGGACCTGGCCACCCGCTTCCAAAAAACTTGGTGATGAAAACCCTATGAATAGCAGGGGAGCATTGTCTGATACAGCACCAGGAGGGGAGAGGGTGGTGCGAAGATACCAGGCAGGGTTCCCCTGCCGTCCACGGGGGCATTAGGGTCGGAATCCGCTCGGCGGCACAACGCATTCCTTCTCTTAAGTGCTCATACTTGGTCACATTTTATTTCCTTTCTTTCTTTCTCTCCCTTCTCAGTTTGGCTCTCTTTTCCCCTCCATTTTTGTCTTTTTCTCTCACTCATTCTCTTGACCATAAATGCCCGTTAGTGATTCTTTAGCTCAATCCCTTTTCTACTGTATTCATTCTCTTATTTTTTATTAAG